AGGTGAAACGCAATAGATATGAAACACTGATGTAGGTGAAACACATCAAGCGATGGGATCAGTCATACAGTTACAGGGTCAACGGTGAATAGTTAGGAAAAGAAAAAGAACCCCTCTCTCACGCTGTAACAGAAAAGGTCTTGAGGGGGCCACATGCTCTTGTTGATCTCCTTCTGAGATTGATGAAGAGCTTACACTGCTCTCTTCGCTGATTATGGTTGATGATACTATTGGGTCCTCTGCTATTTCTCTGGTTTCCTCTATATATTCAAGAGGACTCTCTGTTTAGGCAATTTCTTGTAGTCCTTCTGCTAGGCCTACAAAATCTGGACGAAGGAAATCATCTTGATAGGTGGGGGGCAGTGGTAATTATGCTGGTGGTGGTGGTGAGTAGGGAGGTGCTGCTGCTCTTGCTACCCTGTCAGCCAATGGTGAGATTGTGGGTGCAAAGGTCAAATCAACATTGTTTGGGTTGCTGCCCAATTGTTCTGTTTGAGCCCTTTCAACTACTCCTGCTATCAGATCCTGCTGGACCACCACTAGAATTAGTTCTGCTTCTGGTCCTCCTACTCTACACCAGAGTTGTTCTTCCAATGTGCTCCTAGCAATCATCAACAAGTTTAGGGGAATCTGCTACTCACCACAAGAACCACTGCGTGGGTATAGGTTGGCGGGGCAATGATGGTGTAGGTGAATCGCTTGCCTGTACTTCTTCTGCTACTTCCTGGTCCTGGTCTCCTAGCCTGATAGACTCCCAAAGAGTCTCCACTAATCCAATGTACTCCCAAAAGAGTTCTTCCTTGGCTGCCCTATTGAGGCCTCAGGCAGCAAGACTGGCAAGTCATCTTTTGACAAAGTGCAGGATAGACTATTCTTAATGTCAAGGTATTGCCCTTGACCCTAACCCTAACCCTAACCCCAGTACTCACTTGTGATGGTCTGGTAGTTACAAGAGGTAAGCAATGTGCTTGTCTTGGGAGTGGTTAACTCAGAGGAAGAGTTTAGAGGGTAAGTAGACAATGGTAGAACTATAAGAACAGTCTGCCTCTCCACAATATATTGCTCTGGTATTTATACATAAGGGACCAGACCCCAGATACTACTGGTAGTACACCTAACACCTAGGATGACTGATGCTCGCAATATGCTATTGGCTATCTAAGAATACCTAGCACATAAACCATTGCCCTGTCCTTGTGTTAGATCAGCAGTTCTACTATGATGATCACCTGAATGACTGTGTGTGTTCCTAGTACAAATGGGGAAATCTTGTGTGAATGTATGATAGCCCATTTTCCATGCTTCTGATAAGCTGAACACCTGACTAGTAACATATCACCATGCATTACACTATCCTTATCTAAGTAGATATCTAATCAGATAAGATATAGATCATCTAGATGCTTAAGATAAGATAGACACCATGAAATTCTGTGACAGTTTATTAGTTCTATCTTAAACATGCTTATTATCTTATGGCAAGACAATAAGGGCTAGCAAGCAAAATTTGACTCTTCCTAATGCCCACTATGTGAAGAATACTTGAATGACTGTAGATCAGAAGTTCTGACTAGACTGAATGTATATATTAAGGTTGTGATGCCTAAGCTCTATACTGGGGACTAGTACTTTAAGTTGAGTTCAATTAAGGCTGAGCTTCCTTGGTAGAGGAACTTAGAGTGTGCAGACTAACTTAAGCAGATAGAGAATGCCTAGGTTCTATTGCAGATGTTTCTATAAGGTATTTGTAGGAACAGTAGGACTAAAGTACAATGCTATAACAGCTATATCTTGAATAGAGAAGAGCATTGGAAATAGAACAAACTTCTGTTAATGTAAACTGGGATAATATACCAGTAGCTAAGTTAAATCAAGAAACTGATAGATAGGAATGATAGAAGTAATAACTAAGATAAATCAGTGATATATGCAGTATCAGATAGATAGAGGGAAAGATAAAATGATGTACATCAACAGGTATAACCCATTGTTAGATCAAGGAGACAAGGCAAGAGCAAAAGAAAAAACCCCATTAGAGTGTAACAGACTATGCAATAGCTATGAATTAACTATGAAATGACTATAAATTGACTAGACTGCTACTGCAGCCACCTTTTTAGTTGCTCAGTATGCACACTTGACTATAGCTGACTACATCTGACTTCATTGTAATTACATTACAACTTCATGTGGCTCCTGATCTATTCTGAGCATCTTGGAGCTCTCTCTTCCACTTGTCCATTCCTTTTGGGATATGTCACGTGTGTTAGCACGTAACACTTAGCACAGTAAAACCGTAGTGAGATTGGAACGAGAATGCTCCTCGACGAATGGTTCTAGGAGCCTGGGAGCCACATCAGCCACAGCGGTGTGTAAAATCACGCAACAAGTGACTCGAATGATACATTGGGAACACGAGTCATGCCTACGTTCTCAATGAGCCTCATTGCTGTGCTCCAATCCGAGACTGAGAGTGGATGGGTGGAAAGACAGCAAAGACCAGCTCAAGGAGACAAGATGCCGAAGAATGCAATGGCTGGCGAGGGCATGCGCGCGAATAGTCCACCCTCCTAAGCTCGCCGAATAGTTGAATGATAGCTTGCTTCCAGATCCGCACAAGCGGTGGGGAGAACGATGATCGTCCTGAGAGGCGCAAGGATGCATATGCTATTTTACTTATACACCACACATGAGAATGTCTATGGAAAGTATCAGTCAAGCTTACCGCTGCCCGTGACTCTGAAGCCACCATTTGAGCCGCCCTGGCAGGATGCCTTCTCGGGTTCAATACACGATCTCTGGAGGTAACTGAAAGGTTGCGCGACTGCGACGGTCAAAACTCATACTTGTCAACTATTAGGACGAAGCTGACAGCTGATCCTGTGTGAGTGGAGCAAACCCTAAATGTGCCAATTTCGAGTGCATGAATTTCTCAAAGTCTTGAATGATCGCGGAGGCTGCTTCCAGAGTGCTGCTCATCCACCGCTCCAAAACCCTCTCATCCTCGCTTGAGAGTTCGTCATGGGTTCCTTCATATTGAGTGTTACGCGTGGCACGCTGATATGCGGCATCATCCACGCGCTGTAATAATTTCTTCAGCCAATGAAGGGCGTGGTTACCGAACATCTCCCACATAGATTTTTTGGCGCCTGACGCAGAGTGTCTCATCAAGTCCATTAAGAAAGCAAGTTTGTTGTTTCTGCACTGCTTGAAATGCCCCGTGTCCCAGGCCTTGACATCGGGAACTGCATCCGACAATAACGTATAGCCCAAAACCCATATGCATGATTCAAGGTCGTGGCGGTAGAGGTGGGCAATCTGACCAGCAAGATACTTCTGCGTCAAAAAATCAACAGCCATGAATGGAACAGTGCCCGTACGCTCCCGTCCAGTCGCACTGGGGTCATCGCGCTGAATCCGGGCCAGGTCAAAATCGATCAATACACCCCGCTTCGTCGCTACGTCGGCCATCAAGCTGACGTCGGTATGTTGGATTCCATGCAGCCAGAGCCGGAAGTTACCTGCGGAGGAGGACAGTCATTATAGCTATTCCGCACTTCACAGGCGCAAGTAAGGAGTACTTACACCGATAACAATCTACCC